GCAAAGCGATGTATGTATATATATATATATAATTTATTATATTTATAAATATGCTTCGTATATAAGAAAGAGTAAACCGTCAGAAGACCCCGTTTTCAAGTCTTCAACTTTGTGACGTTATTGACTTGGGACTCCGACAAGATATATTTTTAAATAACCAGCGTAAACCAGACATTCGCCACTAAAATCACCGTTTTAATCCATTCAATCGAAACAAAACGAAAAGAAACCACAATTCTTTGAAGTTTCATTTAAATCTTCAATATTTAAAAAAAAAAATAGTTTAAATAGGTTGAAACCGGAGCATCTTTGTCAATATACAGATTAAAAAAAACTTTTTGGGAATACTGTATTTTCTTTCGCAAAACATCCCTTTTGAATCATAATTTTAATCTTATTTGCTTTGACAAGTTTTCTCGACTGGGTTGAATCAATAATTGAAGGAATACATATACTTTTTGTTTAAGTTAGGGAAGGTTTTTCATGCGACGATAAATCAAACAAGGCATTGGACAATTCTTGATGATCTCAAGTCGACCCATCAACACATCGTTGAAAAAAGAGATGATAGGAGCTTCCAATTTTAATCAAATTTCAAAATTATCACCTTCAGACATTTTAATTTTCTTAAGAAAACAAATCTTAATTTAAGCGAGGCAGACGACATGTAAGTTAAACCTTGCAAATCTTAGCTTGGTTCTATCGCAAATCATAGCCATATTCTAAATATATCACTTCTAAAAGACGCTTTTGAGAGGTCAATTCATTTAATTACCTTGTGTCCTTTTTCCCCCCTTAAACTTTCAGGTTAGAGATTTATTCCTGCTATATAATAAAAATACTTGCATAGGAAAACATTTCTTTCTTGATGCACTTTCGATTCATTTTAATTGATTTGAAATTTAGAAATAAGATCTCGAGAAAAGAAATAAGAATTTCGCGAATGAAGATCCGATTCTGACGCGGTGAAACAGTGATTATTTTTTCAAGAGCGAACGCTTGAATTCTACATTTATCAAACTTGGAGATCTATGGCACTAAACTCTCCGAGATGATAAATACTAATCTCACAAAGACTGGTATTTCTAAGTTTTTGAGTGCAAAAAAAAAAGATAAATTTGAACCGTTTTGTATCCTTGAAAAGCAACTAAATTGGGATGATTCTTAACCTACGTTTAAAAAAAACGTTGAAATCAAACTTACCAAATAGTTCCTTTGACGATTGAGTTTGTTTTGAATATCTTTATTTAAAATTTGACGGATTATTTATGCCCGTGTGCGTGTCTTTTCCATCCTGTCAGTCTTAATCTTTTTACGTCTAGTAACATACCTTTCGATAGCCCTAAACGGTCCTTCGTGACTTCAATGCTCAAACTAGGAACGAAACTGAACTTGTCACAGAAAATCCTCCAAAAACCTCTTCGTTATTTAACGTAAAGTCGAACTCCAAATAACAAAATTATAAACAAACCGCACTAAAAAGTTTTTGTGATGACAAAGACAGCCTAGTATTTGAAAGAATCGATTACCCGAGTCGTTTATCACAGAACCTACATCCTGCAAAGTCAAAAGCTTTATTAAATCTCAGTACGGTCAGGCGGAGTCATAAATTCAAATTACTTAAAAAAGATCATAAAATGTTAATTGATCATGGCAGGATTTTGAAAAGCTAAAACGTATAAAATAACTTTAATTACTCGCTAAGAGTGCCGAAATTTCCAGACAAGAGGTCGACAGTTAAAATTCCCAACATTTGCATATCAACTGCGAAGTAGGTATTTTTATTTGTGGTAACAGCTTTAAGACAGGATTGGTGCTGATAATAAATATGGGTAAAAAAACGGTTAGAAATATATCAATATTTATTTAGTAATCTTTTTGGAGTGTCAATTATGGGTATATCAAAGAGCCAGAAATAGGACACATTGGCTATCGGACCATGAGTAAGAGAATAAGCATATAAATATATACCAAAAAGTTGCTATCGCGTATCAACTATATTTTAATTTATATTTTCTCCCGACACTTTTAAAAGTGATTTTTAAATCATTTTTGGTCCAAAAAGACATCCATACGTCTATCATACGAAACATTCATCACATATCTATAGGCGTACTATTCTTCGTAAAGACTAATTGAATTGAGTAAGGGCAAAAAAATATTGAAGGTGCTCTTCTCATTTTTATTTCACATCTTCATTACATTTATCTTTTCTTGCTTTTTTCAAATATGTTTTCTTTTGTATTCAGTCTTTCTTTCTTTTCCTCTTCATTACTTTTTTCGACATATTCCTCATTTCTCATTTTCGTTTCAAAAATGTTTCATCCAATCCTTTCTTCCTTCCCCGATTCTTTCTTCTTTTACTTTTTTTTTTTTTTTTCTTCTTTCTTTCTTCTTTCTTTT